AAGGATTACCAGTGGGAGCGGGGAACACAGAAGGCTAGCCCTTTGAAACCAGGCCAACTACACTTCTTCCTATAAGCCCAACACCACAGGGCTATTTCTGCCCACAGACACGGGAAGCAGGAAAGCCTGTCTTGCCTGCCCTATAATGGGTCCTAGTTTCCTGTGTTCTCTGTTTTCTTATTTCATCATGATCCCCCAAAACAAAGTGAATTCTTTAAAGTCAGCAGTTATTATGCATGTGCACATGCACATGTACATGTGTGATACAGGGATACTCAGTCAAGAGGTTGGGTCTGGAGGTACCAGCTCTCAAGAAGGGCCCATGACCTAATGAGAAATGATTTCCCTGACCTCAGGAAACAAAAGCTAGATAATTACACAAGAGGACAGTCCCAGGTCACCTCCAGAGGACAGTCCCGGGTCACCTCCAGAATTGGGTTTCAGCAGCTGTAAGGCAATGAGGAATGCAGGGAGGCTCAGTGTCACTCCAAATCTCCACAGCAGCCTTCAGGGAGGACATTGCTGCAGACAGTGGACGTTTCTCTTTCTGGTGATTGAGCACAGCTGATTGTTCGGGAGACCCCTGGATATCCAGGTTGGCCTTGCTCTAGAGATGGTGTTCATTCCTTTCTCATGAATCCCTCCCTTTAAAGGTTGAGGAGAGTAAGTTGGCACAAATAAAACCACACTCTCACATGGATCCAGAGAGCACCCAGCTGGTGCCAGCAGGAACAGGAATGAGGATGTTAATTAGAACCGTCTTCCTCATGGATGGTACCCTGTACCCTGGCTCTCCGGGGTCAGGCAGCAGAGACCTGTGAGGAGCAGATGTGACGGCAGGAAGCAGAGAGAAGGCCACCAGGGTGTAGGAGGGGAAGTCAGGAAAGAGCCTGGCCTGTCTGTCCGTCTGTCTGCCCATCAGCCACAGGTTTGTCTACCTATACAGAGAGCCATGCTGGACAGGTGAAGCCTTTGGACCAGCTCAATCATCATATTTATTCTAATTGTATCGTAATCGTCCCCAAGGAGCCTGGTTCAAATGAGCTTGACATTATTAAAATTTTAATGCCCAGTTTTCATAGCTGAATGAATATTTAAAGGGTATGTCCCAGCGTACGTTATGATGATGAAGAAATTAATGGAATGTCTTGTTTAATGCATGGCTATGTGTTGATGCAAAGAGTGGCAGAGGGAGGGGCAGGGGGCAGGGAGACAGAGCCAGGGGGAAGGGACAGGGAAGGAGCCATTTGTCTGCCTACCCTCTGCCACTGTAAGGAGCAAAGCTGGCCCTAAATCCTATTCTGGTGAGACCAGCTCAGTCTATACATATCGCTTTCCCGAAAGGAGAACCAGGAGTTGACAAGGTTGGACCTGAGTGTGGCAAGGGACAGGAAAGGGACAGCTCCCTTCCAGTCCTAGCTGGCTATGCAAAGCTCGGCAAACTACCACGCCCAAGCCAAACAGCTTGCTCCTTCTGAGGGAGCTCTACCTAGAAAGAGACCCCAGATTCCAAGCAGTCTTCCCAGAGGACTGGCACAGGAGCCTCCAGTCTTTAGGAAGCTGTTCCTCATCCAGGGAAGGCTACGCCTAGCTGGACTGACACTCATTTCCAGCCCAGTGGAAGGATCCAGAATGAAGAACGTTCTTAGGAAAATGCCATGTGGTGGCTTTCTCAGGGTACCCCGCACTACTGGGACATGTGGATGGATGGCAGGGAACCATGAGACAGGAGAAAGGTAGGGACCAAAGGTGTCCTGAGAACATGGCTTGGACTGGAGAAATAGTGTTTGCTAAAGGGAGGTGCCAGGTGACTTTTGTCCCTTCTTTTCATTCATCATTCCTCCACAGACCCTCTCTCCTTCCTCCACTCTTTTCCCAAACCCTCCCCTCCCCTCCCCTCCTCTCCCCTCCCCTTCCCTTCCCTTCCCTTCCCTTCCTCTTTCCTTCCCTTCCTTTTCTACCCCCTCTCATCCCCCCCCTCTCTTTTGGCTGTCCTCTGGCTTCTCTCCCTCTGCAACTTTTAGCCCTGTCATCTCTCCCCTTCTCTGTGGCCTGACTTGGTATCTTCTGCCAGGCCAGCTTGCTCTGCTCACACTCCCTTCCTCAAGGCAGAATCAGGGCTTGGCAATGCTGGACCTATAGAGGATGGGAAACAGAGGAGAATAGTCTTCCCTCCAGACCCAGCCTCCTGAGCAGAGCCTGCTGTAGCTAGGAAACCTCCACATCCTAGGTTTGACTTCTGCTGAAAATAAGAAAGTCTGGGCTTGTATGTTATCTGGCCACCCTGCCCAGCACTTGAGGCTAACACTATGACATTGTCATAATCTAGCAAGATAACCCATATAGTAGCCATGGAGTCCTGAGCAACCTAAGCCCCCAGCCTCTTGCAATTGGATCCACCCTCAAGGGTGCCTCTTTTGTGGAAAAGGGTGAGTTCCTTGTAAGATCCTTCTCTCACTCGATCTTCATGGGCTGTGAATGTTCATCTTCTGGGGCTGCTGGGTATAAGATTCTTGTATGGTTTAAATTACCTAAATGTATTTCTCACTGCCCCTGAGGCTGGAAGTTCTAGATCAGGGTATGAGCAGGATTGATTTTGAGCAAAACCATTCTTCCCTGAAGAGGATATCCTTGCTGTGTCCTCAATGGCCTTTGTCTGTCTGTGTGCCTATGTCCCTGCATTTCCTCTCTGTCTCCTAAGGACAGCAAACGTGTGGGACCTGCCATCATTACTTAGACCATCGTTACCTTCTCGATGCTCCCTGTTTCTCCAAATACAATCACACCGAGGGTTACAGCTTCTCTATGTGAGTGAGGGTTGCACTCAGTCCACTCCAGGGACCCTGTCAGCCACAAAGAATGGCAGAATGTTGGAATAAGGCACTGCAGGCCTGAGAAATGATCAGGAAGCAGACAGATGTGGCAATGTGGGGTGGGAGTGTGAGGGAGGCCGGGGAGGAAGCTTCTACACCAACAAGATTCCGTACAATGTGGTACCCAGAAGAATCTGTCCCAAACTGTCCTCAACAGTTAGAAATTGTGTTTTCTCCAAGTATTGTTTGGCCCTTCCTCCCCTAGAAACTGGAGTCCATAATAGAAAATCCATGCATACTGGTCACTATGTCCATGGCGCTTCTGCCTCTCCCGGTAGCGCCCTAATCATGTTCTTCCCACCAAGATGCAGATGATCCTCCTGACTGCAGAGAACTGTCTGCTTTAAGAGCACAAAGGCTGGGGAGGTGGGGGTGAGAGAAATCAATGGCATAATTGGGTGCCTAGGCCCAACTCTGCTAAGCCCTCAGAGGGCGGAGGGGAATGTCTCTGTGGGTACTCAAAAGTGATAGTTGGGCCCGTAGATGGGTGTTAGAGTACTGGTTAGCACACACTTAGCCTTAGATTCAGTCCCCAGTGAGCTGCTGAGCTCCAAGAACCAAGACAGTAGTGACCCTTCCCCACCCCCCACCCCCACACACCCAGAGCCCCTCTCCCATAGTGAGATTCCTGGCTGGTTCTAGAGGCTTCGGTTCCTTCAGAAACACTGCTTTGTTGGGGGGCCAGCAGCACTCTGTCATGCTTCCACACGCTGGCAGTTTGTTGTAATATGACAGCCCTCCAGTGGCTGGAGGGGCTGAAGTTTCATACAAAGCACCTTTCTTTCACCCCTTTCCAGAGCAGTACAACCCGGTCTCCAGAGGCCAGTCTTGCTGGCCTTGGCTCCTGCCTCTCCTTCCTTGTCTGCCCTGACTCTAAATCCTCCTGCGTGCTGCCTCTGTCCTTCCTTGTGTGGCTCTGCCCTTCCCCTGGCCTCAGCTTCACCTTGCTGAGTCACAAAGTCCTCCCTCCCAATGCCCAGTTGTCTTAACGCAGCCAAAACTCACTTCAAATCCTAGACCGGAAGGCAGGCGGCTGCTTGTGACTGCTGGTCCAGGCCCTGTAAGGGAGGGGAATTGGCAGCAAGGTGCAATGGAAGCAAATGCAGAAACGGCCTTTGCAGACTTTGCCACAAGGTGGCCTGGAAAAGCACATGACTGTCTGTTGGCCTCGGCTTCTCTGCCTTTAAAATGGGGGTGCTTTTGCAGTTCTCTTTGAGTCTTGTGAGAGAAATGCAACTGCAAAAAGGGATCGGGGAGGGGCATACAGGTGAATCATGGGTGGCGAAGACATAAAGAACGTCGCATTGTGTGGTTCTATAATTTTGATTGTCTGAAATACAGCGGGAACCCAAGGCTGGAGAGACCACCCTCGTACCTCGTACTTCGGAGCTGGGGTTCAACCTGCGTTATGAGCCACGATGCTTGGAGTTTAGAGACATCTAGTGGTTAAATGTAGTATTACACTAGTTCCAGGGAGAGGCTTGCGCAGGCACTCCGGTGCTCCAGAGCCCTGACACCTTACTTCCCACAAACACAAGAAAACTGGTAGCGTTTACTCCATCTTTGCAGGACCTCTCCGACTGCCTTCGGGAACTCCAGCCTAGAGCTCCGCTCAGAACATAGAAGTTTGAACCAAGTCCTCTGCCATCTCTGCCTCCCAGACCAGTCTTAGAGATGACCTGAAGTCAGTCCCAGGCAGGGTCTAGCTCGGCAGAGCCAATTGTACTGAGGGACCCTGGCCTAAGGTGTGCCTCGGGTACAGGAGGGCATTCTGGGTGAAGAGAGAAAGAATAGGCATGCTTGCTATCAACTTCAGATTCTGATTCTGATATCTGGTATCAGGCTATTGAGAGCAATTCAAAGAGGGGGGAGCCCTATAGCTTCTCCAACCCAGAAGGACACACCTTCTCTCCCACCCCCTCCCCCACCTCCCGCCGCGCAGGAAATACTGGGTTGTGGAGACTGAGATAGTGGAGGAAGATGGATGGGAGTCAGAGAGGATGCCCTGCTTGTCTCTAGGTGTGCGGGTCCCCAGTGTGGGCGTGGCACTTGCGAACTTGCGCTCTTTGGCTCCCCCCCCCCCCCCCCCCCGCCCCCTGTACCGCTGTTCCCTCTACTCTGTTGCAGATGAACCGGCCGATCCAGGTGAAGCCTGCGGACAGCGAGAGTCGAGGAGGTAGTAGCTGCCTGCGCCAGCCCCCTTCACGTGAGGGCCCACTTGTCTCTGACCCCTCCCTTCCCCTTCCTTCCTTCCCACCTTGTCCCACTGCTGCGATTCCCTACCTCTTCCTCTTCTTGCTGCTTCCCCTGAGAACTGAAGGCTAGAGATAGGCCTTTGTTGTTCTGAACGACTGATATGGAAAGACAATATGGCACGGCTGGGAGACAGAGGCCTGCTGGACAGAGGGAAGGGTTTAATGCCTGTCTTCTAAGAAACAAGATTCGATGTAGGAGTTATCCTTTTACACTCTCTTAGATAAAACGTGTGCCTGCCTGAGTGCTGTCAAGAAAACACTCCAGTGATGTGATTTGAATAGTAGACCACTGCCCTGCTAGGAGAGAAGCAATGGCTTCCGTCTTGTTTAAGAGGGGTCAAGGCTAAGAAGAAAAACACCTGAGAGGGCTTGTGGTGGGGCTGAGGGACACACAAGGCAAGTGTGGAGATAAAGATTGAAGAGCTGGATGCAAACAGGCAGACAGAAGTCTGGAAGGGGACAGAGAGAGGACATGGCTTTACTCACAAAAGCTCACCCTAGAACACAGAGACTGGCACAAAGCTGAGTACCCTAACAGACATGCATACATGCATGTACACACATTTACTCATGCGCACACATGAAAGAGATAGATATATGGATGGATGGATGCATAGATAGATAGATAGATGATAGATAGATAGATGATAGATAGATGATAGATAGATAGATGATAGATAGATAGATAGATGATAGATAGGTAGATAGATAGACAGACAATAGATAGCTCAGAAGCTCAACCCTGTGAAGACAAAACATGGGCCAGCCAGGGACATCTGTTACCAGGCAACAATTCTCCTGGAAATACAGTGTCTTTGAAGCTACACTGCTTCCCCACCTCAGCTCCAGAGTGATCTGTGCCCACGCTGGCACAGCCCTGTTTCTAGTACCCCCTAGATAGGATTCAAGCATGCTACAATGTGAACAGAAGAGGCAATCATAGAGAATGCCTCCGGCATCAAAGGTCAGGCTTCTGCCACCCAGGCTCAGACTGTCCACAGCAAATTCTTTCCATGGTACTGAGCACACTGCCCCACCCAAGAGAGAAAAGGAGAAACCTCAGCCCAAGGGAGAGAAGGAAGCTGTGGGCCCCTGCGAGGGTTCAGTCTGCCAGTCTTGGAATGGAGGTCCTGTCATTTCTGCTTCTCACGGAAGCTACCTTCGAGCCCCAACTTCACACTGACTGTGTCCTGCCTGGCCTCAGCACTGAGCAATGCCCTCAGCTTCTTCCTCAGGAATGTGGACAAATTCAGTTCCTGGTCAGACACAAAGATACTTCCAACTCAGGGTGAGTTGTCCTGAAGTGAACCCTAGTGTGACTAAAGTTGGCACTGGTCCCAGGGATCTATGGTTTCTCCCAAACCATGCCCTTGAACCCTCTGTTTCAAGCTCCTTACCTGGCTCAGGCCCTTCTTGACTTAAGCTTTATGTCCTACCCAACAGGGCTCTAACAGATGCCTGGTGCTTCCCAAAGGCACCTCATGTCTTAGGGCATGGACACACCTTAGCACCCGGTGTTCACTAAGCATCCCAGGACTCTGATAATTGAGAAATAATGCACTCAGGCATCAAGGGCCTAAGTGAGCAAGCCCACAGGCTCCTTCTTCCCCACCCTCGCTCCCTCCTCAATGAAGAAAGACTTATGTCCTTGCTCAGCCTCACTCGGGCTTAAGAGCAGGGATCATGGTCTCTCCTAGAAGTGATCTCTAGAAGGCAGACCTAGTGAGAACGAGTGCAAGTCATCTGGGCGTGAAATGCCGCTATGTCCCGTATTCAGGGAGCCAAATGTAGAGGGTAGCTCTCAAGTACAGTCATGCTGCTTGGATAACCAATGCCACCAGTTATCCCAAAGAGGGACAGCCAGATAAGTTGGAGGAGGCAACATGAGAAAATGGTATTTCTAGACTTGAAAGAAAGGGATTCCCAGAGCTGGGGATGAACCAGGGTGGCACGAACAAGACCTCACCTAGAAAATATCGGAGCGATCAGGCAGGCCTGGCCCCAGCAGGTTCTCCAGACCCAAAGTGGGCATGGGGCATCCCCTCAGCCCCAGCCCAGCAGAATGCCTGCTCCAGTACTCTTCACTCATCCCTTGCCTGGGAGGCGATTGCTCTCCAACTCCAAGCTGCTAACCTCATCGCCTTTCTCCCATATATCTCCTGCTCTGACACTTGCCCCAAGCCAGATTAATCAGCTCTTTTATTCTTGCTGCGGTGGAAAGGGAGGGAAGAGAAGAGCCAAACCTAAACATCTATCTATTAATTGCATATTCAATATTAAACAGGGAGACGGTCCTGAGTCAGCACTATCATCAAGCTATTTTTTCAAAAGAAAGTTGGTTTAAAATAATTTGATATCCATTAAATATTTCTTCTGGGGGAAGGGAGGGAAAGGTGAAGGTTATTAAAAGAATAAAGAAGAGAGGTATGGAAGGAAGGGAGAAGTAGGATGTGGAGGGGAAATGAAGTCGAGAAGAAGGAAGAGGTAAGAAGAGATGGGTTGGGGAGACGATGTGGCTCAGTGAGTAACATGCTTGAGTGACGAGGACCCGGGTTTGGACCCCCAGCACCTAGCTAGAAAGCTGAGTGTATGTCTGTGATCCTGTCACTGGGTGATGAGGGCAAGGTATGCATACAGAAGAGGATACCTAGCCAACTGGTAAGCTCCAGGGCCAGCAAGAAACCCTTGTCTTAAAACAAGGCAGAGAGTGTTTGAGGAAGGTATCCAGTATCAGCCTCCATATACACATTCATGGGCATGTACACACACACACACACACACACACACACACACCACATCACACCACACCACACCACACCACACCACAAATTTTTTTGAAGGAAAAAAGAGGGAAGAGAGGAGCCTTGGAGAAAGTATGTTGGAGCCAAGAAGGGTGGGAAAGGACGTACCCCAAAGCAGAAAGTGATGATGAGCCCTGGTACCCAGGCTGCATCGTTGTCTTGACACCAGCAGCTCTGCTCCCAGGCCACTCAGTATTCTGAAGACCTAGAACCTGGGATGCACATGTGCCCCTGGGATCTCCACCCATTGCCTTCCATGTCAGTAAAAGGACCTGGCAGGAAGAGGGCTACTCCTCCTATCCTGACCACACTCAGGCACTTCAAGGGCCCATTTCCCATTCTACTTCTTGTGCTTCTAGAAGCATCTCATGGTCACACTGGGACTCCGGGAATGGGCATGGACAGGTGTGAGTAGAACTGTGGATGTAAGGGTGGCCTTTTTGCCTACAGAGCTTTGACTGTCTTTGGTATAGATGAATTGCTTGGCTCAGGCTGGCAGGAACAGAAGCACAGCTCTTTTCCTCTTCTCTGGTGTGAGGTTCACATAAGAACCAAATGACGGCTGGGTCTGTCAGAGCCTTTGGCTAACAGGCCTGCCTCTTAGCAGTTCACTGTTCCCAGAGACCCAGCCTACCTGGCAGGTGTGGTCTCTGGAAGGAAGGCATCCAGCAGGAGTACAAGTAAGGTTACAGTCTTCCAGGGCGTGCCCTATGCTCCTCCATGCTTAGCTCTGGAGAAAGCTCACAGGAAAATAGACATGAAAAAGTGGCCACCGCTATAGCAGAATCATGTCACTTAAAGACAGGACCAGATTAAGCAACAGTCACCTGGCCTTTGGATGGAAAAGGCAAAGCCCACATTTAAAAAGGCCAGGCCAAATCTCTCTTTACTAGGCAGGTTATGTTTTCCCCAGGTCACGGAAGGGAGGCTGAGACAGTAGCCTAAAGGAACCTAGAGGGACACCCCATGAGTTCAGGGAAGTGGGTCAGGTGAGAGAGGCAGGAGGAAGGAGCTTCCTGACCACCCCAACCCTCCACCCCTGTTACAGGGTCTGAAGCAGACAGACTAGGAGAGAAAGGGCCTGAGCACTGCCTAGAAAGGAACACAGAGAAGTAACTCTGTAAGCTATTGGCACACCCCAAAGGAAGCTTCTAGAAAATGAAAAAATGTCTTTTTCCCACCCCCCAACCACACACCTAACAAGCCTTGCAAAAGTGCCTGAAGCTGACCATTCCAATACAATCTGCTCCTGGGTCTTTGCTCCTGGGTCTTGACTCTCTCTCTCTCTCTCTCTCTCTCTCTCTCTCTCTCTCTCTCTCCCTCCCTCCCTCCCTCCCTCCCTCCCTCCTTCCCTCCTTCTATTCCTCCTTCCCTTCCTCCCTCTCTCCCACCCCTCTCTTTTATCTCTGTGTCCCATCTCTTCTATCTCTGGTAGAACTTTTCAAGGGAAGGGAAGGAGGGGAAGATCATGACCTGTGTGAACCTCACCTTCATTCTCTCATTGGTTATAAGGTGTGCCCCGCCACCACCCACCCTAGTCAGGTGCCGTGTTCTCACTGCCTTTTGCTGTCCCCAGTCCATAACGGCATCTTCAGAGCATCATTCTCTTCATGGCAGACACACTAGTGTGGCAGTGGAGTCCCGCTGGGCCAGCTAATGAGGTTGGACAAGATGCATGTGATGCAGATCCCAGGCCCTCCCCGAGGCCACGTTCCCCACCATAAACCCAGGCCCCATTCCCTCCTCCCAGCCCCTCCACCATCTGTAGCCCCATCGGGTCCTGTGGCTTTTGAAATCCTATTTCGTTCCTCATTTCCCCTCCAAGCATTATTCTATTTCTAAACAGACAGACCACATGTGGTCTCTAAGGGTTCCCAGGGGCCTTGGGGGACTAGCTGAGGGCTATGAGTCCAGGCAGGGCAGCTGGCTCCTCCTGCCGTGGTTCTGGTCCAGACACATGGCTTGGGGAGACCCATGGCCATAACTATTGACCTCGAGATGCTGCATTTCTCACCACTGGGCTCTTCCAACAATACAATCCTCTTACACTCCAAAGGCCATTTACAGTGTGTTCTGATGAAATGGACTCGCAGGCTGACCCTGCTTTGTGGAAGTACACCATACAAAAGTGTCCATTTTTCCGTCTTCAG